AAAGTTGCATCAGCATAAATTCTATAATCTATTTTTATTACACTCTGATTACTTTATTAACATACAGTGAATATATACTAAATCTTTTACTTCAGCTTAAGTAATTCGGAATTTTTGACAGAATTGTTGTTGGAACTAGGACTTAGAAGAAAAGTCAAATTAAATACTTCGATAACCCAATAAATTCAAGGTAGAAGTTTCAATATTTTATTTTCGGAGGGAGGAGAAATTTTTTCAGTTTTGGCCCATTATCCTAAGTATATTTGCTTCGATTCTTTATTTTTCCATAAAAGCGAGAAATTTACACATGGTATACATATAACACGTAGCTTCAAATTAAAATTGAATAATATACAGAGTGGTTATAATTAAAGTTCCACATTGAAATGGTCATAAAAGGAAAACTACTGGATCAAATGCTATCAAATTTGGTAATCGTGTAAAGGTGGTCATGGGAATTATTTTCCGCAAAAAAAAGGAAGTTCGAAACCTTACCACCAGGGGGAAATGGCACTGTATGCAATATTGTTAAATGAAATATGGGTCGGAATCTAACTTAACCTTTTGTTACATGGGTTTAATATGTTGTATACCCTTAAGAAACTTTGAAGTAAGCAATATACCATTTAAAGGCGTTATATTCGATAAATGTCAAGTGCGCCATCCGTGTAAGTGAGAAATTCATCCGTGAAAACCACGAATTAGCGATTGGAAAATGTCAGATCGCAAATCTCTCGCATGAGTGCGTACAATCTGGAAATCGTTTTCTTACAGATCGCTAATTTGTAATTTTTGAAGCCTGAATTCGGCCCTAAAACATGAAGATACTGATTCAAAACGCTTTTAATCAATTTGGGCCAAAGAAATCCCTCATGTTACCTATCTAGTTCCATTGCATTCTCCTACTGCATTCGATTGCATAGCAGTCATTCCACACCGTTTAGTGTTGAATGACAGCTAGTTTTATAACTGAACCATTTTTCTCTGAAGAGCAGTCAACAGCTGAACCACTGTGATTGCAGCTCACTTACAGTCAATGTTAAAATGTTTTGTGATACATGAACTGCAGTAACTACAATTTTTATGCAGGGCCGGGCCCCACCTCACGTGTGTCGCACAGTTACTTAGGCAACATTTCACGAATGAACGTCTTATAGGCCAACACTTCCCCTCTTCCCACCAAATCTCAACCTCTGTGACTTTTGGCTATGTGGTTATCTCAAAAGCACCGTTTATGGTGATAATCTAAACAATTTGGCAGAAATGAGAAATGTGATACACTGACATGTCCGTAGCATTCCTCCTGATATGCTAAGAGCTGCTGTTGAGAATGCAGTAACAGGATTTAATTTGCTTTCGAAAATTTCTGGACGCTACATTGAACATGCTTTGTAACACATTTCGGAAACTATTAAACACATTTTAAACAGATGTTTTCATGTCTTATTTCATGTAACAATATTGTACACAGCACCATTTTCCCCGTGGTGGTGAGATTCTGAACTCTTTTTTTTTCCCCCCCTCGGAAAATAAATTCCCATAACCTCCTTTACACGATTCCAAAGTTTGATAACATTTGGTCCGGTAGTTTTCCTTTTGTCACCATTTCAAATTGGAACTTTAATTATAACCACCATGTAAATTAAACTTTAAAAGTTTGACAGTTTGGTTCAAGTCCCAGCTTTAAAAATATATATATAATCTTTTATATTAATCCTCTTAGAAAGAATGTTTTAAGAAGCTAATTCTTCTCTCGCGTTACAGATTGTATAATAAAACATGATCTTTAATATGATTTAGATTGTTTCAGCCGATATAAGAATCGGGTCACTCGGTGGTACAGAATAAACCCTGCTGGACCGTTTTATTTCTTTGTCATTTAGCAAAAATCTTTTAATTAAAATATTTATCCTGTGGGCTTCGCTTTAAACTTTATTTCTAGTTAAAATGACTAGAAAATGAAAAGCTGTCTTCAGCTGACATGCAATTCATGTAATTGATATTTTAAAAAATTGACAAGAATGCAAAATTTATGGAAGTCTAGCAATCGAAAAATCTTAATTTTCTTGTGTGAGCACTGAAAATAACTGAAGAAGGAAAGAAGAAAATTAGGGAGAAAAGTGAGCAAAAATTTGCAGGGAAATTTGGCTGTCAGACATACCAAGATGTTTAAAAAAGTTGGACGTTTTAAATATACTTTCAGGACTTCAAAGAATTTAGGTGTTCAAAGAGAAAACACTTGGACGTGTACACCAACAAATATCATCAATTGAGCTTGTATTAATAGAAAAGACAAAAACGATATCATTGCAGATTAAAGTGAAGAGCGACTGGTTTTAGACTATATGGTTGTATAAATTTAAATTACGTTATAGAACATCATATTGTATCATAAATGGAGAATCCCATGATTTTCTCAGTCGAATTATTTGAAGATTCAGGAGTTTATCCAGCGATGTATGTGGATGTCACCTAAAGATGTTTTTTTCCCTTCCTGATGAAACAGCGGACGAGCGGTAAAGTCGCTGAACACCGGTAGTTCGGTCCGAGGTTCGAATCCCACGAACGCGCTGGCTGCATGGCCGTTTTCATGGTTTTCCCCATGTGTTAAGTATATGCGAGCCAGTTTCCCTTAGAAAGTCCTCCACGAAGGTATTCCTCCCCTTAGGCAGATAGCCCTAGTGTAAATAAACCAAAACCTCTTGATGAAACCAGTCTTTCCTTTCATCTCATACCTTCAAAATGTTTAGCCTCTAAAGACTGATAAAGACTTTCTAAGGGAAAACAGCTGGCATACACAAAACACATGAGAAAATCCACGAAAACACCCATGCAACCAGCCTGTTTACCGGGATTCAAACCCCGGAGTGAACTACCAGTGTTCAGGGACTTTACTGCTCGGCCGTTTGTTGGCCTTTATGAAATGGAAGGCAATAACTTTATTTAAAATGATTGTCAGAAATATCAAGATATTTCAAAATGTTGGATGCTTTTTAATATACTTGCAGAATGGCTAAAGAAAAAGAGCAAGAATAAAGTAGAATGCTTGAAGAAAAAGAGAAGAAAAAATAATTTTTTGCGTAAAATTTAGTATTTGTATTTTTTTTTTTTTTTTTTAATTTGAAACCTTTTAATCTTATGATATTTGATTCTTGCAATTTCAAAAATAAAATATTTGACTAAAATATGAATAACATTTTAAGAAAACAAATGTAGGATAAAATTGTGTAAAGCAATGGGCAGAATGATAAAACTGTTTAAAGCAGTGTATGCAAGTCATCCTAAGTTAGAATGTCAGTTATACATCTCTCTTATTTATATATATCTTTTCTGAACAGAACATTGAAAGGCATGTTAACTGTGCTTTACTGTATTTTCTCTCTTAATATATGCAGTTTTCAAACACAACGTAGTCTGGATTACACAGTCTTCTTCCGAAAGAAATGCAATTCAAATAAATAAAATCAAATTCTGAAAAATTTATATGAATAAATATATTTAAAATGCTCATTTCGAAGGAATAAATAGAAAATTTTAAAACAATTATCTGAAGAGACAATGGAACACAAACAATTAAAATAAAAGTATAAAAATTTAAAAATTACCTAAAATAATAACTATGACAAAAAATATATATAAAGAAAACTATTTGAAAAAAACAATACGCATTTATTTACGCAATTCAAAATGGTAAATAGAAATTTTTAAAACAGTTATTCGAAAAAAAAAAAAAAAACGTGCAACTTAAACAATTAAAATGAAATTCGAAAAAGAAAAAAAAAATTACTTAAAATAATAACAGTTATAATTAAAAATATAATATAAAGAATATTATTTTACAAAAAAACATACACAAAAAAACCTATGTAAATTGTATTTAATTCTTTTTTATTTTTCTGCAGAAGGATTAAGTTATTAACATGGAATACCTAATCTGTGCCTTTTTTCCTGTGCCTCTAATCTTTTCATTAGAACACCGATGCTCACTAAGAGATGCTGATCAGTTATAATCAAAAATGACTGAAATTGTTTAAAAAAAAATATGAAAAATAAATTTTTAATTGTTGACTGCATTAAAATAACTCCTCTTTTTGCCTCTCTATAGAAGGAGGCAGTAATATTCATGCCAAAGAGCATAACCAAAGAGCTTTAATTCAGATCTATTACAAATTTGAATGTAGTTTACTACTTTGGAAAGTCACTACTTTGGAAAGAGATTTGAAAGCATATATAGCACAGCTAACAGAAAAAGAAAAGAAGCATAGTAATTATTAATACAGCACAGTTAGTTATTAAATTTTGAACTAAACTATTTCTTCTATTGATACAACAGCCAAGAGTAGAATATAGTCTCTCTTGGAACACTCTTTTACTCTTTTCTGCATTTGCAGAGTTCTCCACCTAGCAATTTTAATACATTCAAGTCACTTATCCATACAAGTCCAATCACTGAAGCCTGAGTCTGACCTGTTTTCCTATAGTTAATAGTTAGAAATTTTAAATATTACAGAAGATTTAATTTGGAAAATGCGACCAGCAAATTTCATGCAGTTAATGTCTCTAATAATATCTAATTTATACAATTTATTGTTATGTGTATTCTACCACAATGCAGCAACATTTACAGTACTCAGAATTTTTCTCGGGACTTTAAAAGCTTTAGATAAATTTCTTGAACCCTAGCTAAGATCCAGGCTTCAGAGCCATTTAAGTCTCATTAGTAAGTAGTTCTGACCTCCTTTTAAGCAATTTTGATTGTAAAAATTTTCTCAAGTCATAAAATATCAGTAACTGGCAGACTCATCAAAAACACAAACATGTGCCTATCAGGAAACAAACTTACCGAAATTTTTTATTGATATTCTTTCTGAAATTACATATTATTAAAATGTTGCTTGTATATGGTGGATATTTGCATGCAATTCTTTAATTTTATTAAGCATAATTAGCTTTGAACACATAAAAACAAACTAATTAATCATATGAAAATCATGACTTACCATGCTTCTAAAAGCTGGATTACTAAACAATGTGTGCCAATCAACACAACTAAGTCCAGCCAAACCACTCTATAATTAAAAAATCAATTATGACCTTTCATATCAAAATCACTCTGAAGAAAATTATACCAAAAACTCAAAGTAAGACATGCTTTACATTTTAAACGAGAAGGTTAAAACACGTTGTTTTCATATTTATGGAAGTTAAATAACACGTACTTTATAATTAGAGGTGTTCAAAAGAAATAACCCACTTTTCAAAATACACTCCTTCCCCAGGTGCAACCTCAAAAAAATTTTGTTCTGTAATTATTTTGATAGAATTTTTTGAAGGAGGTCCTGCAAATTTGTTCCAACAAAAATACGTTTTCAATATTAAAGTATTAATCTTGGACTTATATGTGGGATATTTATATTGCAATTTGTTTCATTCAATCACTAACAGTCATTAAAAAATTTTGCCTGCCAGAAAAGCTTTTCAGTTTTTGTAATATCATTTATATGATGCAAAGAAATGAAAAATGATACCAAAGAAATCCTTATTTCTTGAGACCAAGAAATGAAGGAAAATTCAAAACTAGCTCTCAATGCCAGTGCATATGAACAGTACTAATGTTTACCTGGCTCAAAAACACAATTAGGTGACTTCTAAATAGCAAAAATATGTCAATGGATAAGTTGAAAGGGTTTTCTAGCAAGAAATCTAGAAAGTCATAAGCACTAACTGAACAACTGATGTGTAGTGGCTACAGGGGCATGGCTCATTTATGGCTCATAGTTCTTCAGCACTTTCCTCATGGCGACATATATGGTCGGAAGTGTGATGCAAGAGACTGTGTGGCCTTGGGGACACAACATGATTCCATTTTTATGGAAGTGAAATACTCAACCACATCACAAGAGCTCTTTGGTGATGAATTCAAGCAAATCAACTCTTTCGAATTTGCAAGCTACTATACCCAATACCCTAGCATCTCTATATTAATGAGGAGATAAGACTTGTAACAGTGTTTTGAGCCCACTGTGTTCATGTGATTCACCATTGCATTGATGTACAATTGTTAAGCTCTGTTCGCTGGGTGTGGCTAGTTACATCGATTGAAAACACTTATGAAGAGAGGTGCCATGGGTAGAGTAAGTGATGTAGTTCATCAGCCCACCTCAAAGGTGAGGTGTGTGTTCCTGTCATGTCTGAAAGGGCAAGCCATGAGACCTTGTCTTGTCTGAAGTGGCAGCCATGAAATCTTGGATGATTAATGGCTCGCACTTGCCCATAAATGCTTTGGCGTTTTAGTGGAGACTGGGTCAAATCAGAAGTGCAATGTTACACACCATGTGGCATTTGGGACAGAAGTTGATTTTCTTTCATGGAAGTGAAATACTCTACCTCATAAAAAAAAAGCTCTTTGGTAACGAATTCAAGTATTTTAACTCTTTTGAATTTGCAAGTATTTGCTGGCTCTGCAGGTTGCTATAGAAGTAAATATTGTAGTGAAATTAAAACAAAGTTAATAACTGAAACAATTACAAATGGTGCTTTCAAAATGAGTCATTAAAAACTGAATAAACTAAAATGAAAGTTAATAACTGAAACAATTACAAATGGTGCTTTCAAAATGAGTCATTAAAAACTGAATAAACTAAAATGAAGTGAAACACTTCATGTGATGACTGTGGAAACAGTGAATAATTTAATACATTTAAAAATATGCAAATTAAAAATGTTTAAAAGGAAATATATCTAATAAAATTACAGTTCATATATGATTATATTACTGATAATCCTGTATGGCAGAAAATAGTCTCAGAATCAAAACAAATACTTATCAGATATAAAACAATACACATATAAAGGAATTAAGAAAAAATTTTAAAAAATAAAAATACTATTGCACTTTATAAACAAATTATATTGCAATTAAATTATATTAAATATTAAAATTACACAAAAATAACTCAGTTCTCTGCTCCAATAAAATGCCAGCCAGATCAATGGTTCTGATGGTATCAATTTTTTAAACCAAAAAAGCAAGTTACAAATAATTGCATGGAATCCAACCCTACATAAAGTTAAAATAAACATGGTATATGATTTTAAATATTTTAAATTTTGTGGTAGCAGCAAATTAAGCGAGGAAACCTGAAATTTTCACTCAAAAGCGGCTGCTTTGGAGTTTTTTTTTTTTTTAAACACAAATTACACATTTGCAGTTAATCTTCCTGGGAGTTAAACATTCATTGATAATTTTGGTTTAGAGAGTGTAATTTATGTTTAGTTTTTTAATAATAGAAGATTTAGAAATAATTTGGGATGTTTTCTTTTAGAGTGGCAGATGTATTGTAATTTGAGATTACAAATCGGATAATCAGTAGGAATACTTCTAATTCTTTTAACTTGGCTGGTAATGGTAATGGCAACTTTTTTTTTTTTTTTTTTTTTTTTAATATCTGAATGCCAGTTAATTTATTGAACAGTATTGAAGTCGTAAAATCTCATGTTAAGAAAAAGGTGGTTTGATGTATTCATAATCTTAGGTCAAAAAACCAATTGGTTGTTGATTATGGTTAATCCTACCGAATTTGAGGTATAAAGAGTAAATGTTCTTTTTTTCAGTTAGATGTTCATTATTAATAAAAGTGTATCCATCTATGTAACAAAGTGTAAATGAATTGGCTTTTAGTAAAATTGTTAGTCTTACATGAATTCAAATTCTTTTGAGAATTGATAAAGATCTTCAAATTTTCTTGTTTTCTCTCAATATCTTTTCCTTTTTCAGTGAGGGGACCAAATTGCGTCAAAATATGCATCGAGGCTTGCCAAAATGGTGAAGGTCAATGCTAATATGGGTAGGTCAAAGCATTCCACTGGAGTAAAGTCATTTCTTACGTGGACTTAAAAGTGGTATACATCACTACATGAATGCAAAACTCACCAACATTGCATTTTATCTATAGGGCTGCTGATAAAAGTGCAGCAGCCGTAAAAGGATGCATTAAGTAGAATTCCCAAATATACAGCAACAATCTGCCATATGTTTAAGCATATTGACTAGTTGTATGTGAGTGAATTGCTCCATGCTTGCATGAATCATGTGGCCACAGGAAGATATCAAGAATCCTCCCAATTTTTAGGAAGGTCAGACATGGTACTTAGTCACCTTTATTATCAGATTTGACATGAATGAATGATTGATAAGTGGATATTAAGCAGGCAGATTAAAAGCATGATTTATTAAAGTCCCACTAGTAACCAGACTGTTAGTTGTTGCTGGAAAACATGAGTGAAATACCTTAGATTGTTGCTAGCCTATTTGTGGTTACTGTTGGTGATCACATTTTCGAGCATCTTTTGCAAAACCTTAAATCATTAAAATGTTTCTTTTGATTTTACTTGCCTTTCTTACTTACCAGTAGTTCCCACCTTCTCTATGTAACAGCACTTAAACATTCCATTACTAAATTCCCTTCTTTCCGTCCTTTCAAATTGCAAGCTATTTTACACTATCCTGTAACTTGTGATAAGTTCAATATCGAGAGACGGGACAGTTATTCTCATTACAGGCACAATTTAAAGACAGAAAGTAAGCATGAGATCAAAATGTGAAGTAGATTAAATTATGATAATGGCTGCCTTTACTGTAAGCTGGAAACTGATTACAAAGAAATTACAAGAAATGCTCGAAGAACACCTCTCAAATGAAGAGCATAAAGTATATAAGACTGATGATGTTTCCATGCTGCTTCTCTTGTTAATTGCTAGTTTCAACCCACATCACATAAAATTTTGTAAACAGGATATTTAATAGTATTTCTGAGAACGTTTTTATGAATGGAATAATTTCAAGCCATTTAGCTCACATAAATATCTTAAATAAAGTCAAAAGTCGTTAATCCCGACTTGTCGGGACTTCGGCAATTCCGGATTATAGATCATCAGTTTAAATCTGGTAAAATGGCATGCAGAAATTATAAAATTAAAAATATGAAACCTTAATTTATGAAATAAAGAACAATTATGATCTAAAGGGTATCAAAAGTTACAAAAAAAGCTTAGTTTACTTTATTAAACATTTCTTTCAATGTTAGTTGTTTAAGTTGCTTCGTTTTATGTGATAATACTTTCTCTTTAATTCTATAAACAGACATAATTTCTTCTTCAGTTACAAAGTTCCGCTGCTAAAGTCCTATAATTGCTGTGTCGAGAATACCGACTAATTTGTCAATCGAAATTTTTTTCATTTTCAATAAATCATCTGTATCACTTTCTTCTTTATCGGAAGCGAATTATAATGATGAGGAATTTGATTTAAATCATATCAAAGGAGTACTTCAAGATGAAATGCTACATTTAGTAAGGAATTATAAGTGAAATAAAAACATCTGCTCTGAAGATAAGGATAATGCTGACAGATTAACTTAAAATTCATTGCGCACCGTGGCGTTTCGGCATTTTCCCCCCAAGCCGCAGAGCAGCGTGAAATTGATAAACAGATTTCGGAATGGTTTGAGAAACGAAGGATATGCCTTTATCCATTTTTTGCAGCAATTCCACTTTTTTTTAATGGACTTCTAAACATACTTTCGGTTTGTAGATCCTTTACATATTAGTAAACATATATCGGAAATTCTATTTGACATAATCGAAAGTTCAAGCTTACTTTTATAAAATTGCTCTAACAGTCTGCAAAAAATAATAAGTCGGATCCGATTTGAAGATTCAGGAACAACGCAATCTGCAACATTAACTGAATTAGATAATTTTAGCTTTGCTTATACCGTCCGTTATACATTAAATGCGCAAGCGTAAACATATTACGCACATGTGCACACGTATATTCGCAGCCATAAAAGTCTTACGTCAACGCGACGCATGCGCAGAAAGTTTGTAGCTTTGAGGTCCGAATTAACAACTTTTGACTGTATAAATAATGCCCAAATAAGAGCAAAACACCTGATTATCTCAAAATTAATTTTGGCTACAGTATCAGGTGCATGTCAAATTTGGTGATTTTGTTGTTAGATTATGATTTTATTTTAGTAATCTCACCTTCATTGTTCATGATCATGGCCAGTGTGCAATGCCATGTTCTATGTGAGGAATTTTCTGGTTTTTTTTAGAAGAAGCAGAATACAGTGCACAATGAAAAAACAACAATGCAAATATAATAAAAGGATTTCTTGGAAAAGGTAAAAGCTCAATGCTGAGGCTGTGCAATTCCTTGATTTTGTTATAAGTGAAAACAGATTGCCATGTACATGGGAAGAACAACAATGCTTTACTTTTTTAATGTGTCATTAAATCCTTATTTATTATCAAAATTTGTGTTTTAAATTAATAGTTTTGTTCTCTGGTATGTTGATGATATTTGACTACTTAACATATATATGATTAGTTTCGCGATATTTGTTTTTTAAAGGTCACAAAAACCGCCAACTTGCATTTGGTATGTTACTTTTATCTCAATTTTTAACAATTACTTCAGATTCCTGAATCTTGATATTCTTTGTCTGCATATTGCTAACATGCCCGCAAGTGAGCCCTCATAAACTTTATCTAAATAAAAAGTTACACATTGGAAACTGTCAAAAATACTAAATATTTTTAATGGCAAAAACTCAGCAGCATATTAAAGTATTAACCAAAACACTTTTCATATTTGGAACTTTATTACAGCATTTGCATTGCATTGTCGAATAATTTTTTAATCCCTAAACATACCAATCATTTCAAAAACACTTTTAAATTTTCATCTTTTATTATTGCTAAATTTTAACAATCACTTAGGGGGGGAAACTTATGGCAACAGCGAAATTATTTTTTAATAGAGGCAACTATAATATATGTAATCTTAACATCTTTCTTTAACAAAACCTTCGAGTATACTTATGAAGTTAATCAAAAACTTTTATTTTTTATCTAAGATTCATGTAAAAAATAAAACCCATTGTTATAATGACATTTTACAATGCTGCAAAGAAAAACACCACTAAAATATGCTCGACTCTCATATAAGGAGCTCTCGTATGTGAAGGCTCACTGCATGCAAATTTTATATGTTTGTGGCAGTGTGAAACATAGGTCAATGCACAAAGCCACACCACAGTCTTTACACATGTATCTGGACTTGCATGTCATATTTTCTTCCCTCGCATGCCACATACAATATTAAACATTCAGCACCATTATGTTGGGTTTTGTTTCTTCTCAGGGGTAGGAATCACTGAAGGAAAATGGCATCCATTAAGTTGTAATGGTGTTTCCTTTGTAGATGGAAGACCTGCTGCCTCAGGAGAAAATTCTTGTTTACAGTATGTTTCAACCATTTTCTGAAGAGCATCAAGAAGAAAATCAAGTGCACTTTTTTTTTTTTTTTTTTTTTTGAGGACGAATGCATTTCAAATCACAAGATCCATAACATGGAAAAAAATCTTTTTATAATACTTTTTCCCTCTTATGGTGCAAAAGATTGTTTGCAATATGTTGATCCACTTTATCCATACCTCATTGTATCGCTGTAATCGAATACAGCAACAGGCTTCACAACATCAAGGTTGTTCTTCCAGCAGGTCTGCATATTTGGATTGGGGAGAGCACACAAGATGCAGACATTCTTCTTATCTTTCCAACTTAAGTGCAAGTTTTGCTCTTTGGAAAACTGCAATATCTCCTTTCTTTAATTTCTTGCTGCGATACGACAGTGGCATATCTTTTCCTGCAGGCCGAACAGTGTCTGAGACATATCTGTTCTATTAGCAATCATCATGTCAGTAAGTAATAGTTATCTACAGCTAAGCAATAACCCACAGGAAGATGGAGTTTCATCAGTATCATAATTATTTACAATGACTGTGAAAGGTTCTGATAAGTCTATACCCAATCTCACACCTTCACCTTTATATATTATTAGGGACCAAACATACACAGTTGACAATTCACATAGTATGAATGAATGTCTTAATGCCAAATCTAGCTCACTTAAGAGGCAAATACTGAACTCATCCCAGTTGTTCTTTGTACATACGACTTTCATCAATTGGCAGATCTCTTTAAGGGGTACACACACTTCTGAATTTTTTGGATAAGTGATCTAGTAGTATATGGCATATTCAGTTTTAGTTTATGATGAGTTTTAACATCATATGTGCTGTTATCAGAAAAACATAGGTTTCTTTTAACAATCACAAATCTTTTAAATGGAAGGATTTCATTTCCTTCACCAACACATTTAATATGTAGGCCTTTTGAAAATCCTCTGCAACAACATCAAAATGCAATGAAAATATACATTTCATCCTTTGTTGTGTCCTTCCATTACAGTTTATGTGCATCTTTTGCATATTTGTTACTTTCAATCAACAAAATGTTTATGACATCATCATCAATAAGCTGACTAATAATAATAATACACAATATCATCAATACGTGAGTTATTTTTTATTAAAGGCTCATCTGTAAAAGGACAGCACGGTAAAGGAGATGGATGTGGTTTCAAAGTATCTATTTCACGCCACTGTTTTGCACTTACAATACGACACTTGAATTTGATAAACCACTTTCTAATCCCAAACTGTCATCTTTGTCACTACTTTGAGTCTTTAAAATTCACCATCATATTGTTTGCCTTCTTCTGCAATGTCTAATGTTGAGACATTCAGAAAAACATTTTCACGATGCATGCAAAATACATTAGAAATCTGTAAGCTTAAAATTAGGATCCCACCAATGACCAATCAAATTTCAAGAACAGAAACTTCACTTGCAAATTTTCTCTCTAGAATGCACTATGTTCTTGACTCAAGCCCAAGCATTACAGCACATTCTAGCACAAGCGGTGAAAAACATCAGAAACATGGGCAAAAAAAATTTGTACGATTCAACAGTAACGATGCACAAATATACTTGAGGTTTTTATTGGTCCAAAGGGGCTATGTCCCTGAAGGACTATTGTTTTCATTTTGCGATATTGCGTTGGTTCACTATAAATGTCCATTTCACTTTTCAAGCTGTTGCCACCAAATGGTTAGGGTCCTGCATTATATTTGAAGAAATTAAATAATGAAAAATCTGCATAAATGTATATATATTTCTGGCATTGTGATAAAACAATGGTACATAGAGCCATCAAATTTTGAATGACGTAATCCTACTGCGAATATGGGCATGTGGAAGCCCACATTTGAAATTTGGAGTTTGTTTTATTATCGATTTCATATTTTGTAAATTTTTGATAATCAAACTCAAGGATTTCAAAGCGAGAAATGGCAACATTGTACGGAAAACATTTTTATCTCCGGTGCGTAAGACTGCATAGCGGAAATTCTAAATATTTGCTCAATTTAAAACTATTTTGCAATATTGCTCTTGAACTGAATCTATGGTTTAAGTGCAAAGAACGTGATATTCATTTAATAAATAAAGGTAACAGACAAAATGTTAATAAAATGACCCCCTTGGACATAATTTAAAATCTAAAACCTTTCAGATTTCTATTTTTTTGTTTTAAGTTTTTATTTATTTTTTAAATTAAAACTTATACTCGAGCTATATATAAACTTATACTCGAATATATTCGAGCTTCTACATTAAGGGATGAAACTATGGAATTTTAGGAATTTCACAATAGATATTTTATCAGCTACTGGTGTTCATTTCTTTCGTACATCAAAATTAATCTAACATATAAAAATTACATCAAAATTAAATTATCAACAGATATAAAAACAGCACAATAATCTCTCTGTATAATAAGGGATAAAGCCTAAGGAAAAATTATCAAAATTAATTAGATAGTAATAAGTGTGCTGTGTACATCATGAAGACGTATCAATGTTTAAGAAAGAAGAAAAAGATTTAAGAGACTTTCATGTTTAAAATTAACAAAAAGACATGAAATAAATTAACTGATACATATTTTTAATGCAACCTAATATTATTTGTAAAGCTTTAAAATTAGTTGTAACATGCACTCAGATACAATATAGCACAAAGATGGATTGTAGTGTTCAAGGGTTTTCAAGAACAATAAATGTGTTTACCTGAGATGAAATGAGATAGAAACAAGATCATCTAATAACATGTATTAGTAATGTTTGATTCAATCATGATAGGCACATAACAAAAGCCACCAATTTAGCTGCCTTCAACAATACTGAGTACTGAGATTTTCTATTAGTTGTAGTTGATATACAAAGTCTTAAATATGACAATATCCTTTTTTGAAAATTTACATTTTTCTATAATCACCACAAAAACTAAATTTTGCATGCTGTATTCAGTAAAAACAGTTCTTTTGTAAGGTTAGTGAACTTCTGCTAAGCTTAAGATGACTCTACATAACATTATACTAAATTCTTACCAGAAATAAATGATAAATTTCCAGTACTCACTATAGGCGTATTTGATGGTTTTTCCTTTTTCTCAAGAGCTATTTTGAGATTACTACGATAACTTTCATTGCTTGGATCAATTTCTACTGCTTTTCTAAATGCATTTATAGCTTGATCATGTTGCTCAAGACTTGCATAGGCCAAACTACAATATATAAGTTGTATTAACACAGTGTTTTAAATGATATACTATTAATAAATAAAATTTTAACATACAAAAAGGCTGACCCCATTCTTCCATACGCCTTTGCATATTTTGGATCAAGTTCAATAGCCTTTTCACAGTCTTTAATAGCATTCTGGAATTCATTTAATTTGCTATATGCAGCAGCTCTGAAAAGAGAAAATCAGAGATATTTGGTTTTCTTGCCTTTATTAAATGATTTGGAAGAGAAAACTATTTAATACACATTACTACAAACTTATAAACTCCAAAACAAGCAGAATGTGTTATCAGTTAGCTTGCGAACTAGATTTTTATAATATTAAAAATGTGTAGGTAATAACCAATTGTTAATTTTTGATTAACCATTTAAATGGAATTAATTACATTCGACTTAAAATCCACAACTAACTAAAAATTGAAAATACCCCTTATACATTATACATATATTTAATTAGAAATTTTCATTTTTATTACTCAAGCAGAAATATCATTTATTCTACTAATATATTACCGAAGCAAGTGTTTTAAATCACAAATAATCATACAATAAATAATACTATAAACTATATTTTTATGAGGTTTTCGGAATGATTTCTAAAAAGGGAGAGAAGGAATGAAATTCTAGATAGAGACAAAACATCTATACAAGAATATACTCATAAACAAAATTATTCATAATTCATTTATAAATTATGAATGTAAAGATTTATAAGTACCACACTTCTGAAGTTAGTAATTCTTATTCGATAATCTTTTTCATAACTTAGTTCTTCATTTGTATGCTCGCTTACTTTTCCAATGAGAATGGCTCTGAGAGTTTCCTTATCTAAATTTGGTAGAAATACATCCCTCCTTTAAAAAAAACTTCCATAAGTTGCATCTGAAATAGTCCCCCCCCATGGCAGAATTTGAAAACACTGCATTTAAAAGCGACTTTGAATGGTCAAAAACTGAAACTGGAAAGTCGTGTTCAATTAAATAGCATTCAGGTTTCATTATATCTGTTTCTTCTTTATGAAAAAGTTTTGACATTTTTTCAATTTTCAATTTTATAGCATTAAAATCTTTACTTGCCGCCTACTGTCACCTCTTATGCAATAATCAACTGAAAAGTCTTTGCTTCATACAGTACAAACTGCTTGACTTACAGATGCTTTAATGCATGACAGTCTGTGGCAGACACTCATACTGCCTCCCAGAATGTTCTCCCTCAAAACTGGAGTGTCAGCTTAACAATTAGTAAAGTTCAGCAATACCTTAATCACATATGATACTACAGCAGTGCTGACCTAGCTTTTACCTGTATAAGCGGAATATGAGTCTAATTTCTGGTTTAATAATTTTAGCCTCTTATTCTGGGTCAGCTAATTCACAAATATATAAAAAATGTCTCCTTGCTATACATTAACCGAATGGGACCTAGCAGAGGCCTTCACTATAGGATGCTTGATTAGAAATGTATAAGGGTTGGAATTCACATATCTATGACTAGCTACTCTTCAAAACAAGCAAGATAATTTAACATATGATCCATGATCCAACAAGTATTTCACCAATCTTAAGATGAATAATAAGTTGGTTTTGGTCTGTAAACCATGTCCTTTGCCTCTCTCTCATAAAATCGATGGTTTTTTGGTATTTTCCATATTTCATAGATTTCAAGGAACTTTCCCTGAAACTAGAGAGAATCCACAGTAGTTGGAGTCTATGCAAATTCAATAATTTTATGACAAAAGTCCTAACAGTACATGCAATGAAAATTCCAAAATTTTAAAAAAAAGGTCAGTTTTAAAAAATTTAACAATGAATTAACAAAAATTTTAAAAATTTTGTTCCTACCATAACATACAGTAATAAAAGAATAATCAACTATTTTGTACCTGTTTCCATAATATATAGCATTTTGACTGTCTAACTCAATAGCAGCAGTGTAGTACTTAACTGCTTCATGAAATCTATTACTTTTCATTAGATCATTTCCTGTAAAGAAGGCAAAAATAGCAAATACATTTAGGTTTTACAAAATGGCATAAAATCTAAGATGTCTTCAATACTTTCAACAGCATTTTTAAAAATAAAAAAGAATCAAACAAAATAACTTTTAAATACATCCAAAATGAAATAATGGATAATGAAGTGGATTCCTATTAAACTAACATCGATTATGAAAATAGAAAAACGGGAAATTCAAACTTAAGATTTCATACATTAAGCATCTTTATATTATGCTCAAATAATGGATGTGAATCATCCCATCCACCATCTAATACCACTGTGGCCTCAAAAGTGAGAATAAATTTAATATAAAACATTATCATTCAATCTGGCATCTAAGATCCCAATGCCTACTTTTTCAATTACACATAGTTCAAATTCTAAAATATTTCCAGAATCAAAATACATGAAAGTTTGGCAGGCTAATAATGGCAATGAAATTAAGAACCTTTTCCTAAGGAAGACAGCCTTGAAATGACTCCAGATAAATTGGCTCATAATCATATTACACAAAAGCATGGTTTCAAAACTTTTTCCATGTCCCAAAGCCCTAAATACCTTTAATAAGTTTTTGCACTGCCTAAAGCAGTTTCTAAAAAGAAAACAAGTTACATATTTTGATTATAAAAAATTAAACACAGATATAAGAAATATTACGAAAACATGTGCATAAATCTTTCAAAAAATTGACATTTTTATTCCTATTCATTACATAAGGCTAAACTAATAGCACTTTGTTCCTAAAACCAATTCCCACATCTGCTTGAGCATCCAAGCGACTTCTAAATTATGTTCTGATTTGACAAAAGAACACTAAATTCAGACTTGCTGGCAAATATGATGAGCATAGTGTCTTTACACAAAATTTTGGGAACATATTCATAACAATATAGTTTCAAAGTACTGCTTTCAAAAACTGCACTTCAAGAATATTATTTCTGTGCAGATTTGAATGATCTTCCTACAGTTCATCATCTAACATATTATCCAAATTGAAAGAGTATGAATTTATAACTCACATTTTCAATGTTTATCTCTTTCTTTAAAATACCCATCTGTGATAATATTTCTCTCACAATTTGTTTACATTGCTCCCTTGGATTCAGGTCATTAATAAGAGGAAAAATAAATACTCAAATATGCTAATATTTGGTTGAATTCTTATGATTCTACTTCTCCAAAGAGATAATAATCTCATTCCTTTAGAAAAACTTTTACTTCTCACAGTTCAAAAAAGAGCTTCAAAGCAATACCACAACAGCCAGCAGACTTCCATATGAAAAACCAAAACCAAATGTTCCTTTCCATATTCTTCACAAAACAACTTAAAGAGCCAGTGGTTTTCATCATAACCCCTAATCTAGTTGATGGTCTCCACTAAACAGTCAAGAAGTTTTTTTTTATTATTATTATTTTAGGAGGTGATGTTTTTTATGCCAGAGCATATTACAGGGTTGCCACTCAAACAGGACAATGAAATTCCCTGACTTTTCCAGGTTTTCCAGGTGTGTTTCAAGAAAATTCCAGTCTATCCGTAATGTACGTTGGCTGTGCTAAGACGTAAATTAATTATGGTATTACTTGTATTGTGTAGCAAATTCACTTAATTATTCAATAAATCCCAGGAGGACATTTATTCTTAATTATTCTTCGTATACTTTGTTTGATAATTTTGTTTAGTTTTCCACTTAAGAAACTTAATAAAATTTAAGATATATATATTGGATAACAAATGTATGTTTTATTTAATTATTACTCATGATCATCACCAGTTCAACACGAGGCTAATCCGGTCCTTATAAATCACAACGCAATGCTAAATAGTTAGGTTAGATTTTAGGTAAATTTAATTTGCGTGAAGTATGTTCTTAAAAACCTTAACACTTGAAAACACAAATATAATTATAATAGTTGTTTGTTTTTCTCCACTGAAGATTGAGATTAGAATCTTCCCAATCTGGAATAAAATAAGGCTTTTTTTGCAGACATTCTGCAGCTAAACGAAAGAAAGAAAATCTATTTTAATAAATTGAGGTATTTTATATTTATTTTGCAGCATACATAAGGAAAAAATATGTGCATTAAATTTCGTGATGGTATGTCATCATACTGCTACAATTAATTTCAGGATTATGCCAGAGAAAATTTCCTGAAATTTGGAATATTATTTACTAATAATAAATAAATTTAGAGGGAAGAAGCAACATTAAATTATATGAATAACTTAAAAATAATTACTTAAAAATTGAATTAGAATAATCATCTATATTTTAGCGAATATAGTTTATATTACATGGCTCTAGATGACTGATTACTATTTTTTTATTTTACTGCAAAATGGCAAGGTATTTATTAAAAAGAAAAAAAAGGGTTAAAAAAGATTTTGCGGTAAAATTCTAGTATACGGTAAGGCTTTGGCACGATTTTGAAAATTGTCGCCAAGACCAAAATGACCCGTTTACTGCGCATCAAGATGTCGCCAAATCCCATTATTATTCTAACCAAAGAATGTCTACGTAAAGAAGAAAAGGTTCCATACAAGTAAAATGCTATTACGCCGCTAGAATGCGGAGGGAAAATTTGCCAAGGGATTTGGCGACGGAACCTGGCGGTCAGAATTTCCCTCTCCACGATGTGTACAGGAAACTGAGAAACACGTGTTAAGAAGAAACGCTCTTTGACAAAAAGAAAACTACGAAAATCCGTTTTTAAATTATTGCGAAAAATCCAAGAAGAAACGTTTTATCAAAGGACGTTTCTTCTTGGATTTTTCGCAATAATTCTAAAAAAGGATTTTCGTAGTTCCCCCCCCCTGAAAATAACTAATCCATGAATTAATTTACTTATGTCAAAAAATATTTCCTTTTCCTTTAGAGTTTAACCACTTGCGCTAAGACTAAACTTCACGGTTTGCGGTGCCGTGCGCTGCAATATAACAAGCGGTAAAGTGTCTCATTTACGCCGCTCCGCATCTGCGAGTGCAATCCAGAGCTGTAACTCGAGAAATAAACAATCTCGTTGTTAGGCGACATGTGCACCACGTTATTTTCATTTTTGCGATAAATGCTTATCGACGTGGTGTTCATGTCGCTCGCGGTTTGAGACAAAAGCATCTTGACGTGCGTGGCACGTCTTTTTAGCGCAAGTGGTTTAAGAAATTTTAAACAATATTCATTTTATGAACTCTTGATAACGTGACCTTCGAAACCGGTTTCGAGCTTTGGTGACAGATACATCAGACATGCACAGCTGTTTCCCTCTATGATGGAACAGAGCCACAGCCACGTCTGTTGCAGAGAGGTTTTCCTTCTTACAATACATATTCTTTGATTCTAATCTCCATAATACCGTATACTAGGATTAAACCCATTTGTTTTATACGAGAACAGGTACTTTCTTTAGTTCATGCACTGCACATGCGATTCTCGAGAATACTGGAAAACCAAAAGTTGCGGGAAAGTTGCTTTGCCTTTCTGAAAGACAATCAAACTGGAGCTGCGAAAAATTGGCTCTATGCCAGCTACCCGAATGACACTCACGTGATACATAATTCGCCAAAAAAGTTACCTCTTCCGACGTTGGCGCAAAATCGCTTTTTTGGCGGGATCATTGTATGAACTTCCCTGACTTTTCCAGATTTTGACAAAAATACTTAAATTCCCTGACTTTTCCCTGAATATTTTGGTCAATTTTCGAATTCCCCGACTTTTCCCGGTTCTCCCGGTTTTCCAGGTAGCATGGCAACCCTAATATTAATGAAGGAATCAGTGCATACCTTGTATATGCTGAATCTGTTTCACTGCAGAAAATCCTGATTTATTTCCTAATATAGCAGGGCAACTTCAGTACACATGGAACCAATAATATTGACATCCAAATCATACTTATCAAAGAAGTCCTTCATATACTGAAAGATAACTTTCCCTTTTGGAGTTGTTTTCATGTTTCCACAGAGCAGAAAACTTGTCCATTATGGCAACTTCACAACCATACCTCACCAATGTAATAACTTCATGGACATACCTCACAAATGTAATAAGTTGACTACACTCTGCAACATCAGTTGTTTCGTCCAACTAGAGTTCTAATATCAAAATTCTACACCTACAGTGCATCTCATATTTCTGGATAACATGTGAGCACATTTTGCAATATGAAACATTAATATTTCAGGATATTGAAAATAAATTCATAAAATGTATACTAAAAAATGAACTACTAATAACACAAAAAGAAAACTTAAAATATATATATCAAGAATACAGTTGACACTTGCAGAGAGGACCTCAAGTAAATAGATTTTGTAATGAAATGGCCGTGTGGAAATGGTACATTCAGGTGGTACGGGGTGTTGTCGAGCAGTATGCAAAAGCACTCTGCTTACATAAATCAGCCTCCCCTTCAGAATATCCAACATTATATAAACAGGAATGTGGACCTTGCTAACATGCATTTTATCTATTGTAGCTACAGACAGAAACAAAGCAGTTGCTCAAAGGATGTACTCAGGAATTGTTTTCTGTATCTCCTTTGAGTAGCTGCTACATTTTGGGCAAAGCCTAATAGATAAGATATATGTCAGCAAGGTTTCTATTCATGTAGCTAAACATACTGCTTAAAAAAATTTGCAAAATGAGTGATAATTCATACCACCACAATGCTTTTGCCTATTGCTCAACAGTGCCCTGTACCACTTCAATATGGCATTTCTGCAATTTTTATTACACCCAAAACACAGGACACACTTTTCCATAACAGAGTATAGGAACTGTTAATAATTATAAAAATTCTGTAAAAGTTGCCATGCTGATTTGTTACAGAAATGACTGCAAACTAGGAAAAGAATATTTATTTAATAGGTAATTCATGTCCTTTTTTTACTATAGTCAACTCAAATTCAACAGAGTATATAAACAGTAAAAGTAATCTTAAGTAAACTATAAAAAACTATTTCCAAAATATTATTGACTACAAATGTCAAAATGGAATATGCCCTAGTTTGCAATGATCAGCACGATCATACACAGAGTAAATTTCACAATGCTATATATCAGGTGTAAATGAAAAGGTCACGTCATGAAAGTTTGTAATTCTAAAATACCGATTAAAAAAAACTACTCACAATTCAAAGGACAATAACATCCATGAAGCAACTTCAGATTTTAGTAGTAATGCAGAGTATGCTATAAATTCTATGAATAAACAATGTGTTTTATTTCATAGAGAAAAGGCAACAATATTTACTGAAGGAGAAATATGTTATAAAAGCTAATTCTGAAACATTATATTCAATAACACTCGAACCTGTTTTTGTGTGGGTGCCCCCCCCCAGTACATAAAAACTATAATCAATTTGGAACATAACTGATGAAGACATCATTAAAAATATAATAAATAACCAATCAAAAAAGGAGCTTCAATCTTGTACATCTGGATACCAAGACATATACAAGTGTCTAGTGAAACAACAGTCGCAAAAACTGATCACCACCTACATGGTAGCGAAAATAGTCAACTCTAAATGAGTGTGAGGTAGTATTTTCAAGCAATGAAAGCAATTTTCAATCAGTTTACCACAAAAACGTTCACGTATTGTCAAACTACAAAGGATAATGGTTACACATTTTGAAAAGTTTTGTATGTGTAAAATAAGTACATATGTAAATAAAATATTTTAAAATGTTTGCATACGTATTTCCTAAATCAGACTCTAAAAGGTCTGGAGAGATTCCAAGTAGCTGCCGAGCCTTGCATCTTGATTTCAGTTAAAAAGGCAGTTTCTAGTAATTTCGTAAGGTTTTGAGTCATTTCCTACGTGAGAGTTTTTTTATGCAGTCCCTATTCACCGTAGAAAAAAAATTTTAATTGTGCTGGGAAAACTATTTTTATAGCTACTTGTGAAGTTTTGTGCAATATTGTTCATCCAATCCCTATCCACCGCACAAAAACAAGTTTGAGTGTATTTCTTAGGATAGCTTCACAAATTATTTCCTAAGTAAATAACAGGTCTTTTTACCAGTTTGGTAAGGTAAAATTACTTTATAGAGATATTTAATTCCACTAAAACATTTATGCATATGGTAGGACATGTTAAATGTGATCCCATTTGTCCACAACAATTTTGGTAACATCAACCACATGATAACATTGAACAATGAGAAAAAAGAATATCCTTCAAAATATCAATGGAACTTAATATAACTAGAAACATAAATGCTTACTTTTACAGCCTTTTAAATAGGAAAAAGGCATTAGTGGATTGTCTGTTACACAATAACTCATTTATGAAGAGTTCATAAAGTTCCGGGAAAACATTTCATTGATGCTGTGCAATACTCATGAAGAGTTCATAAAGTTCCTGGAAATCATTTGATTGATGCTGCCTCCCAAAGCTAAACATTCAGATGGCATCTCTCATTTTTTGAACATCTGTATACAGTTCAAAATTTTTGTTTGTTGTTTTATTTTCTGTGTTACATTTGAAATGATCAGTTTTTCATGCTTTTCAACATTCACTTTCAGCATATTTCACACTTTTCAGCATTCACATATAATGTTCTTCATATTTAATTCTTTTTGAAACTTCATTTCTGGGAATGCCTATTTTTATATTTTTCACTTCGAAATTTTTCATTGAAATATTATATTTCAGCTGCTTTATATTTTCTTCCTACATTTAGCTACTTAAAGCACTTTCTCTATTTCTTGTGCATACTTTAATTCTCTATACATTGTATACATATTCCATTTTTAGCTTTCCACAAATATATTTTGAAAATTTTGCTTTCAGATAAAATAAATTAATTTTCACATCTAAAAATTCCTCCTGGTTATACAAGGAAATCAATAATGATTTATAAGAATTTTATGTGGAACATATTTTACCCTGATCAGTAAGTCTGTAAGGATTTTAAGTTTTACTAATGTTTATTTTATTTTAAAACTTTACTGTCCCCTCGTTTTCCACTTCCGGCCAGAATAAACATGGTTAACTTTAATATTCAAATTGAGCTTGCAAACTGTTAAGTATTTAAGTTGTGGCTTTTAACCAAGAAAGAGAGAGACTTTTCACTACCTTATCTCACGCACGCTTTTCAGTCAGTTGCTGTCTGCCTTTAAGGCCAGAAATTTATTCCTCTTGATACTGAAGACATATTGTAGTTTTCCCGCATTCTGCGTACTACAAACATAAAGATTAAAAGGAAAAGCTTAGCGTTACTAATGCATAAAGATTAAAAGGAAAATCTTAGCACTACTAATCCTTGTAAAGCAGTTGAGTTTAGTTCTTATTTAAATTTAGTTAGATTGTAGTTCTTATTTTTTACGTTTCAAACCGTAAGTACTGGTCTTTGTATCCGGAAGTGCGGGAGCAGCTGTAAACTGTGAAAAATAAAGGGTAGTTAAACCCTTTCAAGGGGTTGTATCTTCTACATTTTCAGCAACATAGTTTTTAGTAAACTCCCTGTTCTTACTCAGGACTCCAACATGTTTGCCAAAGTGATTAGAAGAAACAGTAGTCCCGATAAGTCGAAGGAACTTTATACTTGGCCTAGTGTTGCTTAATTTGATTATTTCATAAAAAGTAAAAACTTTTGATTTACCAAGATTTTTCATTGCTTCTGCTTTATTTCCTGAATGTTCACTACTTGTTTCTTCTTCTGCCTGAAATATAAAAATATAAAGAATATTATATTAAATTAAAGTCATCTAAAATATTAGGTAAGTTTGTGGAGATTTGCACTATTAAACACTCTTCTACAAATAATAATAATACAAAAATAATACAAAAATACAAATACAAAAACCTTCCATATTTCTCAAGACTTTAATATAATTTTGGAAAACAAATCAACATTTCATTATTTTTGGCTACTTTGAATACTAAATGAAGAAACAAATGAATCAGCTACATCTCTGTACTTATTTACTAAAATGCTAGCCTTTTACATATTTTGAATATTTTTGTTTATACCTTTTATGTTAAATAGGCATTTGACAGCTTTCCTAATATACTCATAAACAGGGTACAATTGCAACTATTTGAAACTTAATAATTCAAATTTTTTAAGAAGTCAAACATAATGATATGTGCTGAAAATTAAACTTTCCTCAGCAAGGCGAATTTTTATAACCTGAAGTATTTGATAATTAAAACAGTTTTTGAATGAAGCCAAAATTACTTTCTCTCCATAAGCATGAATTAGGCCTCATGCAAACTGTTACTTGCCTTTCTATACTGACCCACACAAACTTAATACAACTCAGCTCCCACAAATGTGCAGGCCAGTCAGCTGAATAAATTATTCCAGTCTTCCTTTAGAGTATGGACTTATCAATGGCATAACAGTAAGATTACTGAACACTGTAGTTCAAAACTGGGTTCAAAGCACACTGAGCAGGCTGCCTGTAAGAAGCTTTTGTGGTTTTGCCCATATGTAACATGAATATGAGCCAATTTCTCCTGCAAATCCTTCATAAAAGCATCATACATATTGTTTTGCCCCAATCAAACAACCTAACCTATAGCAAAATTTAGAGCTTACATGTTTTTCAACAAAGGAATATAGGCTGCAGTTCACCTTCCCATAACATCTTAGACCCATTCGGTGATGCTAAGTTCTGGAGAGCAAGCATAGCAGTCAATTCAATGAATATTCTCAACCTGCAAGAAATTCTCAACCATTGTCATTCGATGAGGCATATTATTATCATCCATAAAAAATGCTTTAACAATGGCATCACATGAGCTAACACTTTACTGTATATATAACCCCTTTCACACTAGATGAACTGACATTTAGAATCCTAAGGCAGATTGAAGTGATTTGCCCTAGCGAACACCCATTGTTACATTGTTCAATTTCAGCGATTCTGGCACTAATGCCAATGCTTTTTACAGTGCTCTATGACTGGAATGAAATGCACACAATTAATTGCCCTTTGAGTATAAATATGTGATTCAAATGACAAAACTTATCATGACAGAATATCTTTATTCCTATGCTATACACAGGTGACATACAAGTTGGCTGGTTGTGTAGTATTAATTGCATAAAAGGCAATCTCCAACAGTTCACCTGGAATATATTCCAGTCATCTGCCACACTGACCAAAGCCTCTGTTGCAGCACAAGGTATCTTCATTCTTACGATGCAACAAATGTGACTTCCAAGCTGACTGGCTGCGTAGTAATGATTGCATTTAGCAATTACTATTATACATTGATCTGCTTGTAATCACAAAGGGAGGGCAATCTTCTACAGTGCATATATAACAGGACCATAATCCTGTCATCAGAAACTAGCTAAAGCTTAAACATGAGAGTTTGTGCTATTCAAATACTATGTTCGTGATTCTGAGCCTTCTTCAAACTTTTCTATAAAACTTCTCTGAAAATCAACAAGGCAAGATCTTTGAGATATGACGGAAATAACATGTTTCAAATTTTGGCCAAATATGGTTCACTGGTAGTGCTAATTCACATTTTACCTGCCTTTGAGCTATCGTGTGACCCCTAAATATAAAAATAGAAAATGTCCATTTTCATTAGCTTTCTGTTACAAGTATTTCAATTGTAAATATGACAACAAATAAGTCTGTTGGATTCCACAGGGGTAACTTAGCATGATGTTCATCCTGAAATATTACGCACACATGTATGTGTGATTAATATGGGCTGCTGAAGGGAAATGACACCTTTCTGTTCACTAATATATATACATTTTGGCTAATGAAAATCTGTCTCGTTCTAGTTATCTGTAGTTAGAGTACAAATAAACTTCTTTTGTAGAGTCAAATAAATACTTAAACGACATCTCGTCAACCCCAGATATATCTTGTACACTGAAGAAATTTCCAAAGACTTTATTACTTAATCAAAAAAGCTTTTATAACCCTCTCAAGGTTATGGACTAAAAATTTCATATAGATGGGTGGCTTTCATATTCATTACACTTGAAAATTTCTGCCAGCTTTTAATGTATCCAACTTCAGGTTGGATGTATATTGGAAGAAGAGGAATCAAGGTACAAAGTGAGAGAGTTGTTTTTTTTAATTAGAATCAAGAAAATAACCATTTATTCATGACATTCTGAGGAACTCTGAAATTTCAAAACCTGTAATGCTCGAACGGTTAATAGTTTATCAAATTTACAATCCATGCTTTCAAATAAAGTTAAATAAAGTTATTAAATCATATACACTTTACTTAGATCACAGGTTGTTTATTTACTTGTAGGTATTTACATAAAGCCAAACACCACAGGTGAATTTGTGTTTAGTATGAAGACTGCAGTTATTTACAGCTCTGAAATTAGTGCTTTTTTTTTTTTTTTCAACTCACTAACAAATGAAGGAAATATTAAAGTCGTGATTTTTTATACTGAATTGCCAAAATGTCATTCCATAAAGTTGTACTTCTTAAAATGATTTAATTTTATGGAAATGCATAATGAAAAACTGCAAGCACAATGTTAGAATAAAGGATGGTGAATTAGTGCACTTCAATTTTTTTTACGTAAAAACAGATTGCTGTACACATGCTGAGAACAGAAGGTGACTGCATAAAGTAAAAGGTCACAGAGGATTTATCCCACCACCAAATTAAGCAAGCCACATTTTTTTAAGTTTCTTTACTTTCTAATAAACAATGCTGACATAAAAATGCGAGATTATTTTTAATTTAGCTGGTTTAGCCTGCATACTGAATGCTTTTGATTTCTAAAAAATATATTCATCAGTTTTTCATCACATCAAGGCTCTTTTAATGTTATTTTTTCTCTGCCAATAAATTGTCATCTGCCAGTTCTATGTCTTTTTTTCTCAATACACAATACTAATCAATAAAAATAATTTTTTTTTCAATATAATACTTAAGACATTTAAAATACTATCTTGATATGTTAATAAAACATTAATCATCCTTCCCAGAGTTCTACTAAATGTTTTATTAATTTAATGTGATTTAAAGACAAAAGGATCTTGTTTCATAATTCTGAAATCTAATTCGACTGTCAGTAAAAATTAATTTACATGTTACATTGGATTTAAAGTACAACAAAATTTAAATGACAATTTTTAATGTCAAAAGGAAACATCCTCAGAAATTGAAAATTAACAATTACCTAAATTTTCATGTAAAAACATGCAGTAGTAGCTCCCAGTAAGAGACACCCACCAGACATTCTGTCCTTTATATAGATGTGTCCCTTATCAACCCTTTGCAGCACAGTGCGTACGGTCTGGACACACCTAAAAATTTCCTTCTGTGCGCAAAGAAAACTTGAATGAAAAAGGATTTAAAGGTTACTATAGGTTACTCTGAACCTTCTTAATTTATAGTCGATGGCAGCTCAAAAACAATCTAATTTGCATGTTTAGTTTTTAGACCCTCATTTTTTAAGAAACATCCAGTTTTTTTAGGTAAAAAGAATTGTTTGAAAAAATTTCTATGTTATTTTTGTGGCTGTATTTAATCCCTTTCTATATTAGTTTAATTTTACCTTGAATCTGCTTAAATCAGCGGCGAACCCTGGTTGTGTCAGACAGGCCCGTATCTAGGACAACTAGCCTTATTCTTTGTTCTCGCATTCATTAGTCGTCATGACAACAATGCGTTTCAGCACTCTTTTCGACTCACACCAAGAATTAAACGATAAGCTATCCACAAAATTACTTGTGTACTCCTCTAGGCCTAATTAGAATGCCTACCTTTTTATCAAAACTCCGACTTAAAAAGGTAGTGTGCTGGAAAGGGTTGAGAGGTAAACACGTGCCTAATTCAAAGGAACCGGGACTTAAACAGAAGTGTCCCTTGTTTGGAGATGTCTCTTACACAAAGTACTACTGTAACTACAAATTGCATTATTGAGAAATAAGAACACTCTGTTAGTGCACAATAAAGAAACACTGATGTTTGTTGCAAATTTAATCATCAGAAAAATATTACAAAATTCAAAATTTATACAGTATCAGCTATGTAAATTATACATGTGAACACACAAACATGATGTGATGATAAAATATAATATTCACCTCGGACGTAGGGACAGACTTGAGGAAAATTTCTTCCAATGAAGGACAAGTCAATGCAAGTAAATCAGAGTCTTTGTCACCAATATCATATGCAGTTTGTAAGCACTGAACAGCAACTAAAAAACAGAGTAAATTATTATTAAAAAGCAAACCCAAAAGATTTTAAAACTGGCACAAAAGATTTTAATCTTTGGGATGTATAAAATTTTTTTAACTAAGGGAACATACCACATACATTCTTAAAAGTAAGACTCATAGGCAAGCAACATTCGTATACGTACATTAGACACAGCCAAACCACGGCTTTCATGCAGCATGTGCAAGCCATGGTTGCATGTGGCTTACATGCAGCCACGGCTCTTTGGCCCCTTAAATAAAACAAATTTCTATCTTGAAATAAAATTCCAATTTAAACAGAAATCACGCTATGGAATGATTTAGTATTCAGTATTTGTTTCTTAAAATTATATTTATGTACAATAATTTTAAACATTTTCCACTAGCACATCATTTCTGTGAATTAATATAGTGACACTACTACATTTAGAACACATACAGGTTATCAGGAAAGACAAAGGCCTACAATACAGAGCATACTCTTGGTAATACCGACACATCCGCACCAGTATCAATTATATATTTTATTTTTGAAGAGGGATATACGATTCACCTGGTGGTCACTATTCTAGCCATAAAGCGATCACCCTATTTGTTTCCCTTTTGGAGAAAAGAACACGAAAGCTGACATTTCCTTGTTTGTTCTCCAAAATTTACATGATAAAAGTAAAGCTCGTTTATTCACCCTTTATAGCAATTAGTACGTCTGCGTGACCTACTATGCCGGTACGAATTCAAAAACAGAGTTGCCAACTCTCGCAATTTAGGCGGGAGACTCCGGAATTCCAATTGTTCTCCTACCAACCTGATTTACAATATATTTCTCCCAATTTTAATGACTTTCCTTCTACAGTCAAAAGTCATTAATCCGGACTCGTCGGGACTTTGGCGATTCCGGATTATCGATTTTTCCGGATTATAGATCATGAGTTTAAAACTCGTAAGATGGCATGCAGAAATTCTATAATTAAAAATATGAAACCTTAATTTATGAAATAAAGAACAATTATGATCTAAAGGGTATCAAAAGTTACAAAAAAAGCTTAGTTTACTTTATTAAACATTTCTTTCAATGTAAGTTGTTTAAGTTGCTTCGTTTTATGTGATAATACTTTCTCTTTAATTCTATAAACAGACATAATTTCTTGTTCGAAAGTTCCGCTGTTCAAGTCCCGTAATTGCTGTGCCGAGGATACCGACTAACTTGTCAATTGAAATTTTTTCGTTTTCACTAACCTCTCTGTCACCTTCTTCATGTCTTTACCCATTTTTTGCAGCAATTCCACTTTTTGTTTGATGGACATCAAAACATACTTTCGTTTTGTAGACCCTTTGGGAGCTCCAGCATCGGAAATTCTATTTGACATAATAGAAAGTTCTTCAAGTTTACTTTTATAAAATTGCTCTTACAGTCTGCAAGAAATAATAAACCGGATCCAATTCGAAGATTAAAGAAAAATGCAATCATCAACATTAAATGAAATAGATAATTAGATAATTTTAAGACTCATACTATCCGTTGTACATAAAACGTGCACGCGAAAACGTATTCTGCACTTGCGCACACACATATGCGCAGTCGTAAAGGTCTTACGCATAAATGCCTATGCGCATGTGCCAATGCGGCGCATGCACAGAAAGTTTTTAGCTTTGAGGTCCGGATTATGGTAGTCCGAATTAACGACTTTTGACTGTATTATGTCCTCAAGGGAACACTTGCGATATGTACCTTTTGTCATTACGATATTTCAATTTCGCACAGTGGAAGTGCCGATGTTCTCAAATACGTGCTCAGACAAAAATCTAAGGACAACATGAGTTCTAAAAAAAAACGAAAAATCCAATTTTCCTGGGGAAACAAAAAGTTATTAATGTAGAATGCCTGTTCTCTGCCTTTTTACTGGAGCACAAACCTGCCACTGAATGCTTCCGATCAACCTTTATTTACAAAATTTTTTCCTGATAGCAAATTCACTCAGAAATACTCAAGTGCAATGACCAAGACGGCTGCATTAGTTAAGGAAATGGATATAAAAAATAAATCTTCAGTTACTGATTGCATTAAAACAGTTCCATTCTGCCTCTCTATAAACGGAGGCAATAACACCACTTCAAAACTGTATCCAATTGTTGTTCCATTTTTCAATCCAGTGTCTTCAGAAGTTAAGTATAGTTTACATTCTTTTAAGTGTAGTTACTTCCACTTTAGTAACCACTTAGGACATTCAACAGACTTTAATATATCACAACTAATTATTAAAACTTTTAAAGAAAATGCAATTCCTCTGGATAAATTGCTTAGCACTTGGTGCTCATAATGCACCAGTAACGTTAGGCTTGAAAGCTGGTGTTGCAGACATCTCGAAAAAGGAAAATTCAGATTTGAAAATTGTGAGGTGCACCTGTCTACTCTTTGCCAATAAGTATGGATGAAACATTGATATTTATTATTATTTTAATGGAATACTAAAAGGAAGGGAAAATTGAAACAGTTTCAACACCTGCATAATACTGAAATATGAAAAATTTTGAAACATGTGTCTACACACTGGCTATCTTTAAAGAAATGTTTAAGTAGAATCCTTGACCAATGAAACCTATTTCTTGCATTTTTTAAAGAAGAAGTAAATGCTTCTAGAGTTAAGATAAAAGGCTCTATTAACTGTTAGAAAATACATAAGTAAATGGAGATGAAGTTATTACCGTATAAAGTCCATAATCGGACATCGACTCGGTGTTCCGAATTAGGGGTTTTCCGGATCGTAGTCATCAAAATTTAAATCTGGTAGGATGGCATGCAAATTATACAATTAAAATATGAAACCATAATTTATGATAAAGAGCAATTATGATCTAAAGTTATCAATTTTACAAAAAAAAGCTTAATATTATGTTACTTTATAAACTTTTTCAAGTGCGCTGCTAAAGCATATGCGAAAGTATGTGATTCTTTAACGCACACGTAAAGCAATAAAAAAAATTTGTGGCTTTGAGGTCCGGTTAAAACATTCCGGATAATGGATTGTCCGGATTATGGACTTTACATTGTGTACTGTACGACATTGTGGAAATATAAATCGAGAAAATTTAGATAGAAAAATTAGTTAAGACTAAATTTAGATCCTATAATAGAAAAACTTTATAGCAAAGTAGCCTACTGCAATTGTATGAAAATTATAAGTTTTTAGGAAATCGCCACTGCATAGATTGTACAAACGGATTATTTTTTGTTTGTTTAAAAGATAATAATATTTTTTTTTTTTTTTTTTTTTTTTTTTTACGTTAAGATTTTTGTACTGTTTGCATTCAAGAATTAAAGTATTTAAACTTAATTCATTATTCAAAAATGTATTTTTATCATTTAAAAAATCTTTTTGTCACTGAGAAAAATTTCCCTATTCCTTAAATAAATCTTCTGATTTTTGAGTGTCGTAGGTTGGCAAGTACGTAAAAATTATGCTTAGGACTGTGAGAATTATGTCCCGAAGGTAGAGGTTAACTCACCAACTTCTTTAGTCAGTTGTACCACCTGGAGTTCCAAATAAGTAGTAGCAGATTCACTTGGCTCGGGTCACAATAGCCGTATTCACATAAGAATGAGATGCAAGCTCAGTTATCTTATTGGCAACCATAGCTAATCAAATATCTTCACCAAGAGCAGCTAAAATAGATTGTATACTGTCTTGCAAGTGACAGAGATCTAGCAAGGGTTCACCTACGGTATCATCTACCAAAGCACACATATGAGGCAATAACTGAGGAGGCCGTTGGTCGCAAATCTCTAAACCTTGCAACAGAGTAGGAATTTTTGATGCTTTGCTCTCGGAATACACTGAAGTCAGTCTTGGTTAGGACATGATATTTTCCAGTAGCGGGAGGTTTTAAAATGATATTGACAACAGAAGTAAGTACGAGTCTACACCAGTAACAACATGGTTAAATTTTGTTAAATCCAAAATTATGTTGGAAATATTTCCACAATAAAGGAAAATCTTGACTCCAGTCTGACATACCATAAAGCAGGTCTTGTTTTCTAAAAAGGTGGCAATTTTACCAAAAATGCGACACCTATGTAACCGCTGCACTTTCAGTGTTTGTTATCTCCATACACTTTCTCATCCAGGTATACGACTGACAAAAAGACTCATTCTCTCTCGTTTTGTGTGGCCTTCTGTGTCAAAAGACTGTGCAGCTTTGGCCTCATTCTTGCATCATCTGCCAGGGGGTCCGAAATCATACAGCATGCTCACAATCCGTTAGTCTTTTGATGTACCCAGTCAACATTTTGAACATGTGCATTTGGATATAGTCGGGCCCTTGCCAACTTCGGAAAGATACTCCTACTTTTTAACACTCATCAACCAATTCTCCCAATGGTTGGAAGCAATACTAATGAAAGATATTTTGGCAGAAACTGTCACTCAAGCATCTGATTGATAAATTTGGTCTTTTCATTACCATAAATAACAATAAAGGCCAATAATTTGAGTCACTCCTGTTCACTAATCTTAATAAAATTCTTGGTGTTTACTGAATACCACCCTACAGCTAATGGATTACTTGAGGGATTCCATCATTCACTAAAACAAGTGTTAATGTGCCATAATAATAATGGACAATGAGCCTTCCAATTGTACTCATCAGTATTCAAGAAACATACAAAGAAGATGTGGGATGAACTTGCTCAGAAATGGTTTATGGAGCGACTGTTCGTCTGCAGAAATTTTACAATCTACCAAGTTTCCAATTCTTCTGATACAATTTCATTTTTACAGAAGTTGTATGAGGCAAATGAGAGAGATGGTACCAGTACCTGTATTGGTCCATGTAAAAAGTATTTTGCGCAACCAGCTTTAGAACAGTATGCTCACGTGTTTGTGAGACAATATGCAATAAAACTACCAACTAGCCTGTATGATGAACCATTTAAAGTAACAAAAAGAAGTAATAAAAGTGTTTGTAAGGTCTATTTTAATTTTATAACAGTTATTTTAATTTA